TTTTAAGCCTGATTCTTGGTTCCACAGAAACAAAAGCACGACCCCGGCGTTTGCTAGATCTTTTGGCTTTCCAGGATGCCGAGAAAATACGGATTATCGAGGCCAATAATGACCACACCAAGGAATACTGTGCCCTGAGTTACAGCTGGGGATTTAGTAAGCCCTATGTCATGACATCCTCTAATTTGGCGGCGTTTCAAAAAGAAATTCATGTCAAAGATTTGCCGAAACTACTACAAGACTCTATTCGAGTCGTTAGGGGTCTCGGGTTTAGGTATTTATGGATCGATGCCCTCTGCATCATGCAAGATGGAAGTCAGTCCTCTGTAGCGTCGGACGACTGGGTTGACCAGGCAGGCAAGATGAACGAAATATTCGGGAACGCAGCTGTCACCATCGCGGCAGCCGAATGTTTTGATGGCAACTCAAGCATGATCGTGCCAAGAAATCCGTTGAGCCAACTATCTTGTCGCCTGGACGCGAGCACGAATCTCTACTATGAAGTCGTCCCACCATGTACTCCACACTGTCTGTTGCACCCTTTCGATAAAGCTCGCTTTCACCTCGATACCAGAGCGTGGGTTTTCCAGGAGCGAATATTGTCGCCTCGGACTGTGCACTTGACTCGCAACTTCGTTCATCTTGAGTGTAGGACCGAGCTCCGTTGCGGAGCCATGGGAGGATCTGGCGCATGCTATCACAGCGGCGCAATTGCCAAAGCAGATTATCAAGTTTTGTTTTCCATGTTCGGACCCTACGGCCTTGATGATTCTGCCCACGACGCATTTCTCTCCTTCTGGCATGAGCTCGTCAGGAAGTACTCGACAACGAATCTGAGCCGCAAATCAGACTTATTGGTTGCTTTGGCTGGTCTTGCAAAGCAAGTTCAGATCAAATCACAACTCACCTGGTCATTTGGGCTGTGGCAGGAGCATCTACTCCGGGGTTTGCTATGGTATGTTAGAGGAGGAAGAGGCACACCTTGTCATGAGAGGTCGCCGACTTGGTCTTGGGCCAGCATTGATGTACAAGGACCGCAGATCATTTATGAGCCTGCCACACAAGTTTCTCTTCTCGCGGACATCATCGATCTGCCCGATGCAACAGACTTTGTAGGCCGTGGTCTACTGGTAGATACAACGAAACATTGCGTCAAGGTTTCTGGCCTGTTACGACCTGGTGCTCCGGATTCGTTAAAATATGGTCAAAATTCTGCTTCTAGCATGAAGAAAGATATTTGCGTCCATAGGAATTGCCAAGGGATACGACATATCCACCGCCAATGCCCATTTCACCCAGACTACGACCTCCCAAACAACATCGAGTTGTACAGCTTCCTTATAGCTTGCGCTTCCGGAGCCCAACAAAGGATGGGCTCTTCTCAAAGTTTAGATACGCATGTGGGGATTGTTCTGACGCCTGCCCCAGAACATGAACGTCGATACAGACGCGTTGGCTATTTCCACATTGACATTCAGGAGACAGACGAAGATGAAGATGAAGAAGTAATACCGTGGATTCTGGAGAGCTCCAATTTTGTTGAAATAGAGGTCATCTAGCAAAACCTGACAAATGTCAACCGAGGCAGTGTAAAATATTCCTGATATACCCCTGTTGTTCTGTCACTCGACTTACGCGTCTACTTGTTGGCTCGAACCATATTAGTGCTTCATTCAATGACTCATCAACATATCGAGATGCTTCCTGCAAGTGTCGTAAACAAGTCTCTCGATCATGGCGCGTGATCTCAAAGCGCATCTGCTCTATTCTGCCTAGGCCCTCTAGAGCAGCGTAGCGCAACTTGGCTCTTGGGAAACCACTGAGCTGTTCAGCCCGTTCCAAAGCCATCCTATAGTACGACTGTGCGCCGTCTAGATCACCACCATCTAGGTGATCATCTGCGACATTGGTGACAGTCCAGACAACGTTTCGTGCGGATGGTCCATAGAACGATTCTTGGTTCCGCAAAAGCTGAGCTCGGCGGTATCCACCTTCAATACGGTCTCGACCGTGGTAAAGGCAGTCGCAGAGTCGCTCCTCGATATAGAGGCGATGCCAGGTGTTGGGGGACTTATCGGAGAATACTGCCAATGCAGCCCGAAGACTCGAGATAGCCGTGCACTGCAGTAGCGCAGGTGGCAATAAGGAGAGGGACACCAAAAACTGGATGAGAGGGGAGGGTGTCCGTAAAGACGAAGCCATCGCCGCCGAATACCGGAGCAGGCATGTCAATACTTCTTGTGCATTGCAAGCCGAGAGCTCACACACGATGGCTAACAGTTGAGCAAGACTCATTGGATGGCAGTCAGAAAGGAGAGGCTGAACAAGGTCAAAAGCTTGATGGAAGTGTGGAAATGCGCCTGGACCTCCACACACCATCTGTGCTAGACCTTCTTGCATGCGGTTCCCGAAACGCCCGTGTATAGTGAACTGATGAACCTCTGGCTCTGGATGCATTTCATGGCTGAGGTAGACTCCACAGTAGTCAGTTAGACTGGCAGCTGCCTTTTGCTCGAGGGTGAATATTGGCGTGGGAATATTAACAGGAGACATGGACATGGCCACGCTGCTGGCTGAGGATAGCGCAGCGATTGTTGAACTACCTTCGCTCGTACCCTCCACAGGACTATCTCCCTCTTGAAGAAGCCTGACAGGTGGCTCCTCCTGGGATACTGCAGCTGAGCGACACCAATGAATTGGGTTCTGTATGCCCTTCCGTCTGAAGTATCGCAGGATCTCATGCAACGGGACATGGCGTCCTCGGATCACAAACCAGGGTTCCGGGACTGGCCACGACGCAGGGTCTGGATCGAGTAAGCGAAGAGCCGCAACCATGCCGTGGAACTGGTTGTTTCTTTGCAGGTTCCATTGGCTGATTCGAGCCCTGATCATGCGCGTGTTGACCCTGTATCCTAGCGATTTCAAATGATCCCTGACCTCTGCCATAGAAAGCCTGCGATCGTGGTAGAGCTCTTTGACGAGGGGTCGCAGGCGCGACCAGTCCTCGCTTGACGGTATCGTAAGAACCAACTGGGGATTTGCGAGGGGATCCATTAGGGCGACTGATTTGGGAATGAAGGCATGCATGCAGAGTCTGTGGGGGATGGATATTTGGATATATATGCATGGGCGTTTTGTAGTTCGTATATTGGCGTCCACCATGGCTGTCAAACATTCAGCCCTTCCCATCCCATTCCATGTCTTAAGAAGTGAGGGGCTCAAGGGTCTTTCAGCACTTGGAGCCCCTCTCATGTTAGCGATATGCAGGTTTGGCGATCCAAACGTCCGAGCAACTTTGTCACGACCCATTAGTCTGATAGCTTATTGGATACCGCTCAAAGTGCACATTTGCGAGGAGGCATTCTTGTAGCAAATATGCCTACGCTAACCATGTGAAGGCAGTTGTTCTAGTGTAGGACTCATTCGGCAATCGCAGCAGTTGAAATCAGCCCATTTAGGGCCTGAAACTTGAGGAACAGGAAAAAGATGGAGGGTTCAGCTCGTGCGGCTGAGTTGCGATAGCGTGTAAGTTATAGCATCTACCCAATCAGCGTTAACGAGGAGGTCACTATTGATCTACTTATTGATTTTCAACCTGGTTTATCAGAGTTCAAGCTCAATTGGTGTGGTGCTTTACCAAGAATGCAAGCACTGTAATTCTTCAGGCACAAGAACGCACAGTAGGGGCCAAAAACGATCGAATGAGTGTCTTAGACTTAGCGAAAATGACAGAGTATCTTCCGGTGCAGATAGATGAAAAGATGAGAACAGAAGACTATAGTGATTAAAATCAAGCTTCAAACGGAGTCCAGTCCTTCCGACTACATCACCACACAACTATCCGTCACAGCATCAACAATCTCCTCCACGATCCCACCACTATCCCCATCGTCACTATCACCGTACCCAGAGAATCTTGTGTGAACGTCAGAGTCATGGATTGGCTGATTTGTAGTTGTGTCGACGTAGCTGGCGCCATTGTTGTAGTCAACACCAACTGTGTGATTGTCACTTGTTGTAAGCTCAGGTTTGTCGACGCTGGTGGGATATTCGACCTTTGGAGGAGGAGGAGGGGTTTCTGAAGACATTTTTTGACTGGGGTGAATGGCAAGTGATATGAAATGCTTGCGAGGCTAAAACAGATGGATTGTTCAGCTAAAGGTTGTAAGGTATCGAGTCAAGTCTGCCGTAGAGAGCCTGGGGGTGTTCGTGATGGAGAGAGGATCGAAAATATATACAATACCTTACTCCATGACTTACACGGGAATACGGGGGACACTACGTAGTCTATGAACGCGCCCAAAGTGCTCGGGCAAAAGCACAATTGTGCCTTATCCCCGTTCTAAGGAGGATAGCTTTCACTCTAAAGAAGCTTTCAGCCTCAAACATGGTAGGTAACGCACGGGCATTGCTGGTTAGCTGGTCATGCATGGGCGTTCTGTCAAACTAGCGGTTTTAGACGGCCATATTTGCCTCCATTAGTTCAGATGACATATCAAGCGATACAACAAAACAACTGCTTAAAAAACGCCGCTCTTTCAGCCTCGCTTATGTATGGGCGTTCTGTAAATATTTGGCGTCTCTGGGGGCAGCTATCACCCAAACGATGCAACCATCTCACAGACCTACCCCTGCTTTGTGAAATAACCTTATCAGCAAGCATACTGATCAGAGACCCTGAGCTGCGAGTGGACCTCATCTCTATGAACTATGTTGGAATCGCAGGACTGTGGTTGTACGCCAAAAAAGTGTCTGGATTCAGCCTCGCATGATGTGATCCCAGAGGTGAATTATATATACTTGAGATTGCCTCTCCAGAAAGGGGACTCATCTGGCTCAAACAAGAACACAAATGATCAACTCACACAATTTTTATGCCTACTTCCCAAACCCTCCAACTTCAGCGTGATATCTCTGGCTGAGGTACTGGCAGACACATCTCTGATCATCCTACCCATCAACCCCCCTTGAGACATTATCTATAAAAAGAAAAGATCAACATGGTCTTCCACCTCATACCAGCCCTCGCAGTTGCAGGCGTCAAGTATGTGATCAAGGAAGCAACTGATGCCCCGACCTGTGGTAAATGCGGTAGGGAGAAGATGAAGATGTGGGCGGGTTTCCGTATCATCTTCCTTTGTGAGGATTGCGAAAACGGGATGGAAGTCAAGCTGGGCTTGAAAGCTGTTCAGATCGCGACTTTTGGTGTAAGTTAATTCTCTTGGATCTGGGTCCAATGTGTGATATGCTAATGTTGGCTTGTAGTTGGCGAATTGATACCCATTGCTATGATTGAAGTGGTGTTTATACTACCTCGATGCAGCCGTGCGCTATGACGTTTCATCAATTTGACTTGCTATTTACAGGAGGATGAACAGAGAATCATGTACAGTTTTATATGGGAGTGCTTGGACAAGCGATTGGCGATGTGTATGATCAAGCATTGGCGGATGATGATGAATGAGCCCGTAGGAATCACTCTTTTACATAGCGGCCAATAGCAAAATAAAGATTAAATAAATGTTGTATTTCTGATTTCTAAATATTTACCTTTTACTTCATTACTTTCACGTTCCAGGATGAGGCAGGATTTCTTATTTGCATATGGCTATGAACCTGCGGCATCGAGACGCTCAGTTTTGAGAAATCCACCACAGGTCTCAATTGGTATTAAGTATTTTAAAAACTACATGGTAAATATGTCTTGACAGCTCTTTAGTGGAATACTTTTAATAGAATTATTTATGCTCTATATGACATTTGAGACTTCTGACTTATTATATTATGGTGCAACTACCAGTCCGTATCTGTACGTATCCTTTGAGGTTCGTTTCAAGTAAGCATTGCCCAGGCAGCAAGAAAACTCTCCAGGTGCCAAAAATACTCAGTCCGAGACCCACTAAATTCACACCAATCTATGCGAGATGTTTTTATCATCTCGAATAAAAGCCCTACGTTTTCTTGCCTCCTTGGTACCGAAACAGCCTACAGTTGCAGCTACTGTTGCCCCAAGAATGCCTCCTTGGGAGCCTCGTCAGGCGATGCCAATCATCAGCCTCATTGCAAGTCCCATCTCAACTTTTAGATTCAATACAGAATTATCAATTCTTGCACCATTTATCTTACACAATGCGGCTTTTGAATGTCGTCGACGAACGACTCGAGAGCTTCTTTGGCGACGAGATCCCACCCTATGGGATCCTGTCGCATCGGTGGGGGAAAGACGAAATCACCTTTCAGGACTTGACACAAGGGTCACTACAGGACTTGCAGGGCCGTCAGTCATTCACAAAGATTTGGGATCTTCTTGACCGGGCTGACAAAGATGGTTTATCCTATGTTTGGATCGACACATGCTGCATCGACAAGACGAGCAGCGCAGAGCTCTCAGAGGCCATCAACTCCATGTTCAGATGGTATCAGCAGTCGGAAAAGTGCTATGTCTATCTCGACGATTTCGACACTTCTTCCAACAGCAAGATTATTCATTACGATCAGTCTGAAAGATATGTCGTCCTCGATGAATCAGAGACTTCTTTCTTCGATAGCCTCTGGTTTACCAGAGGATGGACCTTGCAGGAGCTCATAGCACCGCGAAATGTTGAGTTTTACGACAAGAACTGGGTTAGCTTTGGCTCGAGAGACGTCGCACTTCTCGATCGTATTTGCAAAAGAACTGGCATTTGGCCGCAGTTGTTTCGAGAACCCCGTTGTGCATGCCCAAGCGAAAGAGTGCATTCTGTCTTTACAGTTCGCGACGGTATCTGTGCTGGATGTCAGGGACTTGATACCCTCCCTCAGACTTTGGACTCCTTCGCCGTCTCCATCAAAATGAGCTGGGCATCGTCCCGTATCACGACGCGCAAAGAGGATGCGGCCTATTGTCTGCTCGGTCTCTTCAACCTAAACATGCCATTGCTATATGGCGAAGGTGACAAGGCATTCCTCCGTCTTCAAGAGGCCATCGTCCGGCAGTCTAAAGACCAGTCAGTCCTGCTATGGCGCGCTCGGCCTGATGTTGCACCTCAAGGGTTTGCACCCGGCTGTTTGGCTCCTTCATCCAGCGCCTTCAAAGAACCAGCTCACATTCTTGGCCGCCGGGTCTTCAACAGGGTCGACAAAAAGTATGAGGCTAATTTCCTCGGAAATCTGGCTACAATGGAGATCACTGACACCGCTATACGCACCAGCCTATGGATTTGCCCTTGTAAGGTGGTGCCTGACGGGACGCAGGCTGCTTCCCGAACTCTCTGGCTGGGTATCATGCATCTCGCATACGACGACGATTACCTTGTGCGACCTGCCTTGCTGCTAGAGTATATGGGAACTGTCAATATGTATCGAAGAGTCTACCATCAGCATATTGTCCCCGTCAATCCCAGGATAATTCGAGGTTCGTTCGTTGTAGAGTCATCAATCGGCGACGTCGATCGACGTCTGTCGCTCACTCCATCTCTTGAAGAGGCCACCAAGAAGGACATCAGCATTCTGCTTCAGCAGAGTCCAATCAACGCAACGGCCGGCCCTTCTCCTGAAGAGGGTCCTGAGACCGGGCCGGTGTATTTCGTTCTGGATAAGCAGAAGCTGGACTTTACCATGGACAGCGGAGGCAGCCACCCTCCTTTCAGCCGTTACCAAGGTCGCGCCACCCAGATACCATCACGCTGGGTTTTTCAGAGGTGCCAACATAGAGGAGATGGTGAGAGATATTTTGGCGGTATTCACTTTGTTAATTTTATGCTCAAGGTCCCGGCAAGATCAAACTTGAATCAAGGGCCAAATCGACAAGGTGCTGGTCGATTTGCGTATACAGCTGTCATATGGGGTATACAGCGCGAAGTGCTCAAAGGGAGAACCAATCCGTCTCCGTGGCATCTGTGGTGCCGAGTCTTTGATCTTCACAGCTTCATAGAACGCGCCCGGACCTCGAATGGAGATTTACAGCCAAATCAGCTGTACGGTGAGATTGAGGGTCTCAGTGCAGGCGAGATCCAGAGGCGCATGAAGAACCAGCGGTCGCGGCTCTGCCTAGCCGAGTATGAGAAGCTCGAGATTCCACAAGCATCGGGTCCGAAGGCACTGTTCCCTTCTTCTTACGGCGACAACTGGGCGGAAGACGGTATGGCTGATGGCGGGAGGCATTTGGCAGCCAAGGTTGCGTTGGTTGAGGGACTGGGTCGGAGGGTTTTTGAGCTGCACATCAAGATCACAGGTAGTCAAAACACAGAAGCATCAGCCATACAGTAAGTAGGCCTCGGGGAGCAAGAAAACACGACCTTCATATAGGGTGCCAAAATAAATCCAGTAAAAGATATCCTAAACTTAGTGTAGATATTCTAAATTTATGTAAAGTTACCTAAGTCTTTTTGTCATTCAGGATCACGGTCTCGAGTTTTCATTCCTCCCCTAGGTAGGTCATAAAGGAGGTCTCATAAATCATTAGTGCATATAGGCTTCTTTAAGCATAAACTTAGATAATGTCATCACTAATCCAGAGGATACCAGAGAAGTCTACCTAGCTGACATAAATATCTAGACAGAAGTAAGGTAACCCATGATAACTTTAACAGACTTTTTGACAATGCTGTCTCAGTAATTTTCGCCTCTAATCATCAGTCTAAAGTCCTCCAACCCCGACGAGGCCGGCTATTTACTTGACCTCCACCACCAAAACCCACCAACCAACACACCCTTTCAACACAGCCTCTCCATCACGTCATCTCCATTTCAATGTCTCAAAGCCCAAATCCCAACTCGTGCAATTCACAATTTCACATGCCCTCTCCTAATTTTCGCCTCAGACAAGGCAATGCAATCATCGAGTCACCCAGCCATAGGGTTATCCCCCGTTGCCGCCGACTCGACTGATCCTAGTTACCAAAGCTGCATTCAGCTGCACCTCCATCCAATGTCCTCGCTCTTTAGAGTCATCCTTGGCTGTATGTCACTGATTGGTTAGCGCTTGACGAATGGCGGTTGGTTTACAGGGGTGCAGCAGCTTTCGCTTCTTTAGTGAGGTTCGCTAAGGGCTTTCTTATCTGCGGGACAGAATAACTCAACCACTATTCTCGTGTTTACAGGGGAGGCGGTGTGCTGGTTATACTGACGGTGGACAGTTCGACAGGGGAATGATCGACCGGGCTGAGAAGGCCCCGCTGCGCAAAGCACTCAATGAGAGCTGTTGCTAAGAATATCCTTCCTCGGCCTGGGTCTGGGTCATGTGTGAGTGACCTTTCTCATGATTCTCGCCATCTTCTTCACTCTTTGTTTACTGTTACTTTTCTCACATTCCTCGATGGCGATGTAAATAAACCCTCCGACTCGCGCCTGAAACCCCTCACCCCACGTCACGATGGCCTTTTGGCTTTTTGGTAGCACGAAGCCCAAGAAGTCGAGCAAGAAGTCCAAAAAGGGCACGAAGACCAATAAAACGATAGCTGCTTCTAAGCCCAAGATAACAGATCCTCCTAATGTCTTTCGTCCTGCGAGACCTCAGATCGAACCACCTCCTTATCCTGGAAATGGGCGTGCAGCGTTGAGACCTGCTCTTCCGTATAATCAGCACCATGCATCTCAATCACAGCCTCACTTCCAGCCCGCTGGCTATCTCCCAGCACCGCCGGGCTTCAGCACTCAACCGGTGGTGATCAACAATCACTATCACCTCGGATCGCAGCAATCGCACCCCAACTTGTCTGCGTTTACACCACCGCATCATCTAGCCACGACAAACTCACACCAAACTCTCTCATCGTCGTTGAACCGTTTCACAGGATCAATGGTGAATCTGGCCAAGGAATCAATTCCACCGCAACTCTACGACGATGGGCTATCGGCTTGGCATGGATGCGCGCAGATTGCTCAGTCGACGAATGCGTTGTATGATCGGTTCAACGATATCATGACGCTTATTGATCACGAGAAGGTTCAGGGCAATGAGAATACGCTCTTTAACTACGCTGTCACAGATCAGGAGCCAAAGACGGATCAAGTCGACAAGGGCATGGGAAAGGTAAAGAACAAGGAAAAGTCCTCATGCAATGTTGCTGCGTCTGTCGTGTCGGGCAATTATTTTTCCAAAGTCGAGCAATACGCAAACTCCAAGCTTCCGTTAACACTACCACCACTATCTCTGTATGTGTATCCTCCAAACGTCAATTCTTTGCTAACAAGAGCAGACATATGCCAACATGGCCTCTCCTTTGTCTTGCAGCTCAGTACTCCCAGCGCGTCTACGAAAGACCTCGCGGCACCGAACGAGACGCCCACGTCTCGTCCGACTGGCTCGCTGGTCCCAGACAGACCTGCATCAAGTCCGTATCCATGGACGACATGAATACCATCGTCTTCGCCATCCGCGGTACAGCAAGTTTCATGGATTGGGCCGTCAATCTCAATTCTGCACCCATCAGCCCGCTCAACTTCCTCGACGATCCTGGAAACTTGTGCCACGCGGGCTTTCTC